ATGCACTCTTAGGGATTAAGTAGGGAAAATGGATTATGAAACTGCTAGATTCTAGAAATTAAATTGTTTGGGTTAATAGTGCTTCTTTATTAGTGGAAAGTATGTTTCATGCCCATAGAACACTACACAGCATAAAATGAAGAAAAAGCTACTAAAAAGCTCGAGATGGTGATAGGGACATGCACTAAATGGGAACCCTTTCAAATGGCTTCATTTGAAACATTCAGAAAAGAACTAGACTTGCTCATGAAGCCAAAAACAGAGATCAAAAGGCAGCAAATAAACAAGGACCCCTTTCCACCTATAGGAACTTGTATTGAGAGATACAAGATAGAGAGCCAGTCACACTACGGTATTTGTATGTGCTGGGAAAGTTTGAAAAGGATATAAAATTAATTTATAAAATACCTAAAGTATGGTCCTTCAGTGTTTTTATTCACATCTTCTACCCACTTAGCTACATTATAGTCTCTTTTGAACCATGGGTTTAAATACCTGCAGAAAGCAATGGAAGGAACAAAGAAAGCAGAACAAGATAGAAAATCTGAAAATACACAGCACAAGCTTAGCAAGGATGTCTTCACCCTCCAAATGCAAGTGACCATGGCAAATAAACCAGAATGGATGTTGGGTGATTATGAGGTTGTCTATATGACATGAAAGTAATCTTGGCTGCAACAAGGCTCAAGGCATTCTACAACTCATTCAACATTTCTGGGAAAGTCTTTTCCAGTGGCTTCCCGAAGTGAACCAGAAACTCCCTTTCAATCACAGTACTGTCAGCATCCTTTCACCCACCTCCAAAGTGGCTTTTTCCATGCCCCCTCTCATTTGGCTCATTGGTTTTTAAATGATAATGTTGCTTTTTGAAAACATTCAGATGCTCCAATTCCAAGCTGGCATTTGGGCACAAAATATCCCAAGAACTATTAAAAGGAGCAAAGTTCTCTTTCTAGTAAGAGAAGGCTTTCACATGGCACCTGTCTTTCCCCTGAAGTGGATCCCAAGCTGGAGTCAACAAGAAAGTAGGCTCCAGTGGGCTCTGTAAGGAGCAGAAAGCTTCCCACTCTTTTGATCCTGGAGCCTCAGTGCATACTCAGTGTGGTCCAAATAGGCCTCCAGGATCTCAAAGTTGGGTTTAGTAATTTAGTTGCAGCTGCAATGTTCCTTCCTTCTCTTTGTTCACTCCAGAATAAAGTATTCACATTTTCATTAGAAAAAGGCTCTCAGAAGTTGCCTTCCAAGTGTCTCATCACGAATTGTGTGAATGACTGCCAGAGAATAACAATGATCTTAGTTAGCATTTCCCTGATGGATCTGGCAAAGTCTCCATAGGAATTACTGTGCAAATATTAAAGGCAGTAAAATTGGAGGTGCAAGTTGTTTTTCCCCCAGAGTTTCCTTTGATTTTTGACCCTAGGACCGAGACCAAAAACACATCCCCTTAGAATTTGCCCTTGTAAAATATTACAAATTTAACAAATGCAAGTACTGGAAGAATTTAGAGGTCATACTGGGTTTTCCCATTAAAAAGCAACTTCTAGAGAACACAAGCTCTTTAAAACTTATTTGAAAACAAACTAGGGAAAAATATAAAATACATTATTTGTTTTTGGCTAAAGTTTGTTCTTTCCTCTGTGTTTAGCTTTCAAGCTGTTCATAAATGCATTTAAATCAAGACTACATTTCCATTTCCGGGTTATTTTCTCCCTCATTTTTCAGTGATAACCAACATATTCTACAAAATAATACCATGGAATTCCTTCCTGAAAGAAGAATTTAGTTGCTTTTCATGCTTATAAGACCATTTTGGCTAAGATGATGGAAGTTGCCTGACTCAGGAACAACTCATGCTAGTTTTGCCGTTAGCCACAATCATTGCCAATTTGCGCTTTCCCAGACAGCCAATTAAAACTTGCATAAAGATTTCCACTGAGACTCTGAACAAAAAGTCAAAAGCAAATGCAGCCACAGATGAAGGCTGGTGAATGGTCTGGCCTGGAGAAAACTGTAGAAGAAGCCCATGCAGCTGCAATCAGGTGAAACATAGCCACATGGCAAACCGAGTCACCCGCACGCAGACGGCCACTTCCAGGAGGAGACATTTGTTCCTTTCACTGACAATCTTAAACACAGTGCCACGGCTGATCCATGAAAGCTACAACCACGTGGCTTGACTTGTACTTGATGGGCTCCTTCCTTCATTTTAGGGAGCACTTTAGAAGGCTGTGATCACTTCACCAGGGGTCACTGAAGAGAGCTCTCAATTGTTTGCTCCTTCTGGGCATCTGTGCATAAAAGAGTCTTCACAGTGGGCTTCCTAACATCTCAAGGTCATAGTGGCTAGAGTGATGGGATTTTACTAAACTGTGGTAAATCTGCCTATGTGGCTTAACTTGCCTTATAGCGCAACATGCAAAAAAAAAAAATGCATTAGACGGGATAGGGGAGCTCTTTGTGTTCTCCAGGATGGAAAGGCAGAGGAAAATTAGCTGGTGCTAGCTGGACCAGGAGCACATCCGAGCAGACATGGGGGCTTGGTCAAAGATAAATGACCCTGTTCTCAGCCAAGGAAGAGACTTGGAGGGAGATTACGTGGCAGCCCAGAGTGAACAGCAGGTGGAGACTGACCTGTGATCCAGACTCCCTGTCTGGGGGCTGTCAGAGCCCCCTGGGCTTATGCCTTGGGATGGGACTGTCTGGGCGAGGGAGTGCCCAGGCTCAGGTGCTGGGGGCTCCCTCCTGTAAAAACACAATATATAATACAAAGTCTAAGCCAAAAAAAATTTTACATCATGTACAACAGTGAGGAAGATGCAAAAGCTTTGAGTGGAAAAGCAATACAATTAACAAGGACATTTTATTTTGTTAATTAGCAGAGCATGCATTTGTGGTGCATTGTTTTAATTCATGTCCCAATCATCCGTTGGGATGATGATATACTAAGGGAATATTGAAATAATGGACCTGAAATACCTCTTATTCTAAAAAAAAATATATATGTTTGTCTGTGGTCATTATGTTCCTCTTACAGTCACACAAATGATATTATTATTGTATCAGAAGTAAATGAGATTACTTAAAATATGAAAAATATAAAAAATTGCCAACATAATTCTTGATATGCTTTCTATCAGGAATCTTATAAAAATACATATATATATGTGTGTGTATGTGTGTGTATCTACATAGAGAGACAGTTTCTATACACGAAGGTATATGAGACTAGTGGTCAGATTCACAGACTTAGCTCCATTTAACTAACATGAGTCACGTAACCTACATTAGAAAAGCCTGAAAAATTTGAGGGAGTCCTTAGTACTTGTCCTTCACAAAGATGATTCTACTGTGATGTCTTATTAAATATTATAACTTAGTTATATCACAGGCAAGATTTCTCAAAGGTTATCTGTACTAGTATAATTTTTAGCATGTATGGAAATTTCATGTAAATTAAAAATAATTTAAGTGCTCTAGAAACTATTGTATGAATATTGCTAAACATCAAATGTTCTTTGGGTCCTAAACTCATAGCTTTAACATAACATTGAATTTTTTTCTCACTTAGAGGAGTTTTCAAAGCTTTGTTATAGGAAATAATGTTCAAACAGTCAACAGTAAATAAATGATTGTCATATGTCTAATTACATTTCAAGGAATATCTAAAAAACATTTTATAGTTCCATTTGTACTCTTGTGAGCCACTGAGATAAAAGTTAAGGAGCATTGACTAGGCCACCTCATGCAAAACAAACCAAATTACATTCCAAGAAGAGTTTATCAACCATAAGCCCTAAAGCATCCAAGCGCTTTGGGAATATATAAGATAAACTCTAACGGATTAGTTATAGTTATTTAGGCTGGAGTTCTAGGCTGCCATTCTGGACCATGCAATGCTATTACTTGAAATTGTCTATTGTCTCTAAGGTAAAGTATCCTCTGGAAATCTTTGATAAAAAACTTAGAAAACAATATCATTCAGGTGGAAGGTCCAAATTGCAAGGCAATGCTATTATTACTCCTGGACTGAAAAGGACAGGGCATATGATGGAAAAGCTAACATCAGTTTTTGACAAGCAGTTAACTATTAAGGCATGAAGAAGAATAAAGATCCTAGAAATAAGAACCATCACTATATTGAGAAATAAGTGAAAATTTTTTAGGTGGGTTAAAAAAGTTTAGCTAATTAAAACCAGGTGGCAGGGTCAGTCCAAAAGGATACTAAGAGTATGTTTTATTCAATGATGGAAGATAAAGGGTTGAAGAAGTTTTGTTTTGCTTGTACTTTCTTAAGTGGAGTATTGAACAAATAAACCAAAGTGCCTGGTGTTTACTTTATTAAATGACTTAAATGTAACTTCAGACCCCATCCCCACTTAAAAAAAAAAAGTGTGGCTATCATTTAAAACAGATAATGTTGCATTTAGTGACAATGATTCCATTAAAGAGCAAGTTTAGACAAATGCCCTTTTAAATGTTCTCAGAAGGAAAATTTAAAAGGGAAACATATTCCGTTAGTCTGAGAGAATGCTTAGATTGCAGCTGTGAAGACCTCAGAGCAGGGGTTTTAGATCTGAGCAGTATCATGCTCTAGGAGGATGAGAACTTTCCCCTGATGCTTCAGGCTATGTGAATATTAGGGAGAGGAAGGGTGACCCTTTGAAATGACTGGACCCCGGTGATGAAAAGAAAGGAATGTTATCAAAATTCCCTTCAAAAGGAACCAAAACACCACAATGACAGGTGACTGGTGGAAAAAGCCTGCAGCAAGGGTGAGGCCCCCACTATCAGTGAATATTGTTATGGGCACAGTTGCGGAGATGCCTATGTAAAAGAGAAAAGCCATGGTTAATTTTTAAAGGGCAAAAAAGAATTGAAAAAAAAATAAAACCAAGACTGGAGGCATGGTTTATGGTTCTTTGACTATCTGCTTAATTAACTTCGTACACTAATTGCACAGGACGTTGGAGTGCTGTTTTCCAGTAGAGGTTCAGACTTACTCAGTTGAATTAGACCGAGGTCTAAATCTTTTCCCTCTGATTTTCTTTCTGTTTCCTCCCATGTTACCTGAAAAAAGATGGTATAGAGCTAGATTTCCAAGTAAATAAATGATTACCCTATGCCTAATTACATGGTATTTCAAGTGTGTGTAATTCACAAGGAGCACCACCCTGGGAAGCTGGACTTTGCAGCACTGAACAGCCTTCTCCACCTGTCTAAAGTACTAGTGCTACCAAATCCCATTAATGTCCATCCAAGGAAAACAAAAAACAAATCTTATTCTAGATATCTTCCTCTCTGTTGGGAGAAGAGCTAAGTAGCTTCCAAGAACAAACAAGTCTTTTAAAACCAGGGACCAAAGAATACAGAACATGGATTGTATAGATAGATGGATTCAGAGTGCTGGCCTCTACCTTGCCAAGAGTTACTTCGAGGTCGCCCATTTTCACAGATGTCTGAAATATGTTTTGTGTCTGGAATCCTTTCACTCCAAGAATGAGAGAGCCCATTTGACCTGAAATTGAAAACATGGATATGTTGTTTAAAAGAGTAAGCAAACGGACCTTTTGAAATCAATAAGCAAAACTTGTAGGCACTATTTGCGTTAAATAAATCAAAAAAGAAAAAAATCTGAAATGAAAGAATGAAGAGAACATGAAAGTCTTCATGAAGAAGGCAGAATTACACAACATTCAATTTAAGAAAAGTCAAATACAATGGAACCCCATTATGATAGTCTATAAATGAAAAGTCTCAGGATAGAATGCAAGCCAATTTACATTCCCCGGAACACAGCAACCATATAACAAAGTCACTGTGTGTATCTGTCACGTAACTCCAGCTTAGTGTTATAATGGGGTCCCACCATAGATGTTTCTTAATTGTAAAGCAATGGTTTCCATTCAGGAATTATGAGAACATGGACTTTCAAGAGATTACAGTAAGATTTGTGCAAGTAAACCTGGTCAACCTTTATCAAAGTAATATTTAGGTTTTCTTAAATAATAAAATTATTTTCTGAGAATTGGCATTTTTCCCACAAATATGGTCCAGTAAAGTGTAGTTGTCCAATAACTGAACTGAATCAGATGTTTATCATGGAAGCGTCTCTCACAAAGCCCATGTACCATTGAGCTCTCTTATTTATGTCCTACCTCCTTTAAATGAATTATCTACAAGAAGCAAAATTTACACACCTACTTTGTACCACACGAGGAAAGAATTTTGATAAATTACATATACTTAGAAGTCTAACAATTTTTTATAATTTCTAACTCCTTACAAATCATAACCCATTGAGATTTTCCTAAAGTCTGAACACTATTCAAATGAATATTTTAAGCTATTTTTAAGGTACTTTAAAAAAGGGTACTATGCTTAAAAAGTCTTTTCCACATATCATTCTGGTTAATTACTAATGATGTCTATTTTAAAAGGAAGCTTCTACTAAAGACTGAAAATAAATGGAACTTAGCACAATTACTTCACATTCATTCCCTAGGCTGGAACTTTCTCAGTATCATTTGCTACCTATAGAATGACTTATATTTTGTACAAAAGGACAACAGAAATTCTGATAAAACCCACTCATTTCTCTACTTACTTGCTGTTACTTAATTTAAAATTCAATATTTGATCAAATACTTCAATATTTAAATGATAGAATTCAAGTAGTTTCCTAGTCATCTTTTTCTTTCAGTAAACAAGCCTTCAATAAATTAAAAGAACAATTTTCTTATAACATCCTTTTATAGAACTGTACTCCTTGGGCAAAAATTTGTATTCCTACTTCTGCTTTAAACTTTGTTTCCTAAGTAAAAAAAAAAAAAAAAAAAA